CCCCCCCCCCTGAAGAAACTTGCCATGCAAAGCCTGTGAGCCTTAGGATCACCATATGTTGGAAGTGGCTTCAAGGCAAATAAAACACAGACGGACAGAGAGGCTACGCTCCTGTCTTCCTCTCCGAAGGATCAAAAGTAGTTCACAAGTCAGAACTGGTTGACAAAGAAGTATGTAGAGTTTCCCTTAGTAGGCATAGATAAGTATGCAGACGTATCTATGGCTATGACTCTGGAGAACAGGGTCTGAATCCCTCCTCAGCCATGAAAACTCACTGGGTGACACTGGGCAAGTCACACTCTCTCGGCCTCTGAGGATGGCAATGGCAAAAACCCCTCTGAACAAAACTTGCCAAGAAAACTGCATGCTAGTTTGGCCATAAGTCAGAAACGACTTGAAGGCACACAACAACAACAACAACTTATCTATTACTGTTAAGTAAGAGCCAGCCTGGTGTAGTGGCTTGGTTGTAGGACTAGGACTCTGGAGTCCAGGGTTCGAATCCCCGCTCGGCCATGGAAACCCAAATCACACTCTCTCAGCTTCAGAGGAAGGCAAGGGCAAAGCTCCTCTGAACAAATCTTGTCAAGAAAGTCCCAGGATATGCTTGCCTTAGGATCATCACAAGTTGGAAATGACATGAAGGCACACAGCAAAGTACAAACTAGGCACACAGATCTGGGGACTGGCCCTCCCCAATACAGGGTGACCAGGCATCCTCCTTTTCCAGGATAGGTCCTACATTTCAGCCTTCTGTCCAGGAGGAATTCCAAAAAGTCCTCCATTTGGAGCATGACTAAGAAGCATGAATTTATATTGAGGTTAGTGTTAGAATCATAGCCTCATAAGAGTTGGGAGAGACCTCCAAGGGCCATCCAGTCCAACCCCATTTTGCCATGCAGGAACTCTCAATCAAAGCACCCCCGACCGATGGCCATCCAGTCTCTGTTTAAAGACCTCCAAAGGAAGGAAGTCTCCACCACACTTCCAGTATTCCTCTCTCAAAAAACTCTCACCACCAGGAAGTTCTTCCTAAATGTTGAAGTGGAATCTCTTTTTTCCTGTAGCTTCCATCCATTGCTCCAGACAGACCTATTCTCTGGAGCAGCAGAAAACAAGTTTGCTCCCTCCTCAACGGGACGCCCCTTCAAATAAATAACTTTTGG